AGAGACCTTTGTCCTTCCTTTTCCGTTAGCCATTTTAACTCCCCTCAATCCTGCTACGTGGCTCCAGGAGCGCGCATTTACTCATGCTCGCCCTATCATCCTTCCCAGAGGCCAGCAGAGAAGCAAGCAACTCGTGACGCCCCAGTTACAGCCCGGCCGTTCAGAGCGGTACCGCTGCGAGAGACCCAGTCCCGGTGCCGCCACAGGAGAAAGCCGCAGATGCAGCGTTAACAGCACGGACAAGTGCTGTTCAGAAAGGGTCTCCTTCAGTTGAGCGGTTAGAAACCAGCAATTAAAATCATAAACTGACTAGGACGGAGTGGAAAATGTCAGAAGGCCTCAAACACAGGGAGGCTGAGACCCCGTGACATGTCAGTCCCAGTCACACGTGCTCACGTCCACACGCGCGAGCGCGCACCGTGCTCCTACTCCCTCCCGTGAGCCGGGGTCAAGAGGGTTGGGATGTCGCGCTGTGGGCTAGCCGACTCGGAGGCTCGGGGTCCCCCACTGCAAACAGGGAGAGCAGCAGCGACTGCACGATGCTCTGGGGAGGCGCGAACGGGGACACAGGACTTACGCCAACGACACACTGCAAGCTGTACCAGACCTTCGCAGGTTCTCTCACTCCACAGAATGCCACTCGAGAAGGTCTGGAGAAGACAAGGGGCCACGAGAATCCCAAGGGACGAGCACTGCACGCGGAGGGAAGAGCCCGTCAGGGCAGGGCTGGAACAGGAGCCGCTAAGACGCTGTGGGGCTGAGGGAGCACAGGAAAACCGAGCTCTCCCCCGCAGGTGAAACGGGCAGTCGCTGGAAGAGTCTGGCAGGAAAATGACAAGGACCCGAACTATGTTTCTAAAGGATCATTCTATCTGCGATGCTGAGAATGGATCGTAGCAGGCAGGGGACGGTGGAAGCTGGGAGACCAGCTATGCCTGCAGCAACACGGCAACTGAGGCAGGACTGCGGTCCAGACCAGCCAGGAGTCTACCGCACCCATCCAGCCAGCCACAATGACCCGGTGGTACCTGGACCGAGGTGGCAGGGGAGGCCAAGGCAGTTATCTGGATTTCTAATGGACTGACCTGAGTGGGTAAGAAGGTGAGGCATTAACGAGAGCTCTAAGATTGTACTGGAACCGCTGGAAGGGTGTCCTTAATTGCCATGAAGCTTGGGGGGGAAACTGGTCCAGCTCTCTTTCAGGAATTCGGCTTGGTGTCTAAATGTGAGCAGGCACCTGCTCCATAACATACGCTTTTTTTTTTTAACACCCCCCCCCTTTTAAAATATTTTATTTATTTATCTGACAGAGATCACAAGCAGGCAGAGAGGCAGGCAGAGAGAGAGGAGGAAGCAGGTTCCCTGCTGAGCAGAGAGCCTGATGTGGGGCTCGATCCCAGGACCCTGAGATCATGACCTGAGCCGGAGGCAGAGGCTTAACCCACTGAGCCACCCAGGCGCCCTTCGATAACGTACTCTTTCCGGGACCCCCTTCTTGCTTCTCTCCCTGCCACCTTTCCTGTGCTTCCCGGGATCACCTCGCAGATGAACACCGACTCTGAACCCATGGCTCGGGGTCGGCTCTCGGGGGACTCCAAACGAAGACACACAGGACACCTGGAGACACAAGTGCGGGTGAAGGGGGTGTGTGAGGACGACACCATGAGGACCGCCGCGGCCCTGGCACGGAGCACACGCGACCGCACGTGTCGCCCGCAGCCTCCTGCCGTGTACCCAAACAGCGCTTCAGAGAAGCTTCCTCCTCCTGCCTTCCTCAAGCTCCCGTGGCCCCTGCCTGCGTTCTGAACCACTGCTTCTAGTCCCTGGGACCCCGGGCTCCCGTAGTCTTTGAATGAAGACATTTGGGAATTGGGGAAAAATCAGTCACTCAGAGGTGGGCTGTATGGGAAATCGTCGCTGTCCCTGAAAACTGCTTAAGGCGACTCATTTGGCTCCGCTCAGAGTCCTCAGCGAGACGGCCTGCTCGGAGGGGGGCCAAGCCCGTCAGATTCCGGACACGCGGGTGCGGGTGACGCCACAGTGGCGCCCGTGACGCTCGGCCCGGCGCCAACTGCCATCCGGCACCTGCGGCCACGCGGGCGCCTCCTCGACCACGCACCGCCGCCGCCATCCTCACCCCCGCGCCGAGCGCTCCGGCCACCCTCGCAGGCACGCACCAGGATCACTACAGAGATGAGACACCCGGGGCCAGAGGGTCAAGTGACTTGTTCAAGGTCCCATCGAAGGCAAGCGGCGAAGCAAGACTCAGGCCAGGGGCCGCGGCTGTGGCGAACCGGCTCGTGAAACCCCCGATTCTCACCTGTTTTAACGACGAATACCGGGACCTGGGACCTGCAGGAGCCCGCGCACCGCAGGCCGAGCCGCCCTCACCCGAAGTGCGTGTTGCCCCCGAGCCCGCCCCCCACCCCTTTTCCATTGCTCATCTCCACCTGACTCATCGGGGCAGAGTCCCTGCTGTCGCCGTAGTCATAGTGAGAGCCCCCGGCGCTCTGAAGAGGAAAGTGGGTGACATGCGGACCGGAGAGCCGCTGACGACGGACAGAAAGAGCTCAGCGGAAACCCCCCAGGAAAGCCAGACTGACAGCGGCCCGGCGTGCGGCCGCCCGCACCCCCGTGCACACAGATCTGCCCGGCTCGGCCTGAATCCTTCCCATCTCACGCTGTTTCCTGAAGTTTCAAAAGGAGAATCTTTACGGTTAGCAACTCGCAGACCTCACAGCTCCACGGAGAAGACCTTCAGTTCGGTGTTTGTCTCGAGTCCCGGCTCTGTCCCCTATTAGGTGCGCAACCGGGTAAGATCACTCGACCCCTCCGAGTCGTAGCTCCTCAGCCTGTCAGCCGGGCGAACCCTACTCGCCACACAGGACTTTCGCGGGGAGCACGACGCGCGGCGCCTGCCAGCTCGTGTACGCAGCGCCTCCCACACGGCGGGCGCGTGTTCCGTCCTTCCTCTCCCGGAGGTTTCTGGTCCCGGGTGTTATCCATCGTAAGAGACGCTGGTGGTGGGACAGGAGGGGGCGGGCCGGCTGCCGGTCGTCCAGCCGCACACGCCGCGGCGGCAGGACAGACACACACGTCAGCCAGGATGATGGATACAGACGATGCTACGAGCGCGCGGACTTTGGTGGGACGGTGGGTGAGCGCGCGGCGGGGACATCAGGGAAGACTCGGGACTCACCGCTCACTGGACTCCTGCAACAGTGAAGGTCCATTCTTCCACTCCCACGACAGATCCCTTTCAGAAACACACATCCGATGGCACCGGGGCTTGGAAACTCCTACTAAATGCTTACGCGGGCCCCCGGTTCCAACTCCCAAGCACAGCCATGAAGCCCTTCGCCACTGAACCGCAGAAAGTTATTTTATACCAATTTTATACCAAAATTATTTTATACCAACTTATTATATATCAAATTCCTCAGGTACTAAATGCCAAGAGAAGCAGGGATTCGTATCTTAATAGAAATTAATTGAATGCAAATGATTTCCTCTTTACACCGATGTTACATCAGGAACTAAGATTTTTTAGGGGATGGAGGGAAGGTAGACAGTTTAGGAACACAGAGCATTCCAGTGACATGTGCAGAAAAAAACCAAGCACAGCTAAGC